GTAGGGAAATTATACCTGACCGTTCTAGACCAGTCTTACTCTCAGTGCAGTGCTGCAGCAGAATCTGCTTCCTGCAAAGGATGTGGACGCATCCTTCCTTGGAGCTCTTCAAGAGCCCATCCGATGGCTCTGGTCTGGCAAGTCCAATCTCATCAGATCTCAGAAGCTAAGCAAGGACTTGGATGGCTGACCTCCAAAGAATACCAGGGCCGGGAGGCAGAGGCAGGCTATCAAGCCACTTCTCTGAACGTCCTCCATGCCCCAGTAGGAGTCGCCAGAGGTTGCCATGACTTCCAGGCACGGGCAAGCGCACATAGGCACACGCATACACAAATGCAAAAGTACCCAAAAAAGAAGTCCATCTGATACAAACCGTCTGACACAGGTGGTTTAGCTACAGGATAGCTTGTAAAGTGGTGGATAGATGAACCGTGGTGTCGCCTCCTGTTTCTGTGCTGTAAATGTAAAGGTGGCTGGGGCAGGCTGGTTGGGTTATTTGTTCCGGCTGTTTCCTAAAGCCTGAACTTGACAAGATGTTTTTTGCAAGTCAGATCAGGGTTCTCCTGACCTGTCTTGCTTTCCCTGCAGCAGAAGACAGCTGCAGGGAACTTCAGGGCCCCGTCCAGACCAGGACCAGGGCCCAGTAGGGAGAAGGGAGTCAGTCCCTCCCCCCGTGGTTTTCTTGAGCCGAATGGGGGGCATTTCATCTGTTGGGGGCTACATGAGTGGAGTCGGGAGAACTGTGACTCAGCTTGTGGCCCAGTTTCTGGTGTAGTTTGGGCCTGATCCTCTATGTTATAAACCCATTTAAGGGAACAAAATTCAGATTAGAGCCTCCTCCTGAGACCTGAAGACAGTGAATCTTGAATCTGCCCCATCCTCCCACATCAGTGTAAAGTAGGTGGTAAGAGCCAAAAAGTGCTTCAGGAAAAGATCCCAGTAAAGGAAAACTGTATCCTAACTGCGCTCAAATAATTTTTAAATATTAAAGTGAACAGAATACAAAAATTATTCGTGAAGTACAAAATCCATAAGATGAGTACAAAATTGGGATCTTTTTCTGAATCCTCCCACATCAACCATGCAACACTACGACTGACTGCTTCCTCCATTTATTTGTCTATTGGAATATTTACATGCCACTTTCCCACCACAGTGCCTCGGACAGCTTGCCAAAAACAAATTATCTGCAGGTAATACTATCTTCCTTGTGAAACTAGCTGGGAAAAGCACACTTAAGAAGAACAGCCTTGCCTTTATAATGGAAGGCAGACAGTATAGAGGCGCCCCGCACCTCCCCGGGCAGAGCCTTCCATAACGTTGACGCCGTCACTGGGAAAGAGCAGGCCCAGGTTGTGTCTGATGGACTAAGTACAATTGATGGTGGCCCCACAGTGGCCGTTTTTAAAAATTGCTGGGATCCCCTGTCTGGATTGCGCGTGTGGGGCCACACTGAGATGACCGATTCTGACAGCTTGTGACTGAACTCCCGAACAGAACCCTCTGAAAATTCATTTGCCTCTTTCCAGCACATTTCCCCCCATGTTCTGAGGATTTGCTGCTAGGATGCCATGTAAAATAAAGAGTGCCTTTGTTTTCCAGCATGCTTCATGAGGAGCAAGAGAAAAGAGCTACTGCTGCGGAGTCCTTGTGCAGCCCTTTCTTCAGCATTCCTTTCGGTAAGTTGTATAAAGTCTTAAGTTTTTTTGTAATAGTCTGTGTTTCTAAAAAAATCTATCTCATCTCTTCTTGTGGCAGTTAACAATCTTCAGTTTTAACAAAGAACTGTTTTGCCCATAAGGATTAGTTTCTGGTCTTTTTGTGATCTCTTTGGGGCACACTGTTAGTCCAAGGTGTTTCCAATGCATGTGTGTACACTCCTCCCTCCCCCTTCCTGTTTCATTGAAGTCCCGAATCATGATTTAGTGACCTATCCAAATGTGTTGGAGTCCTCAGAGCACCTTAAAGACTCAAAAGTATGCAGTGGCTTGAGCTTTTGTGGTGCAAACCACGTGGTCTTATGAAACAGGCTCCTAAGATTATGTGCTGCACAGCAGTTGAACATGACTACTTTTCTGGCATTGATAACTCCTCCAAAACATCCGCACAATTTGTCCGAACATAATTATAGCGGTCAGTGGTAGCGACTTCCACATGATGGGAAAGCACAGTAGAAAACAGAGGATGGTTTTACTGAGAATAGAGTTAACAAGTTCTAGCCACTCAGTCAACCAGTTGCTGTCTCCCTCTGGTGAAATAACTTGTTGCTCTTTGAAATCATATGCTCTTTACAGCTCCTCACATTGAAGATCTGGTGATGCTTCCAACTCCTGTGTTAAGGTTGCTCAATATTTTGGATGATGCTGCTCTTCAAAATGACAAAGAATTTGAAGGTTTGCATTCTGCCCTTTTCCATATAGCTGCTGACCGTGACGTAGGCCACAGAAGATGCTAGCAAGGGAAAGTGGCTTAAGGTGGGCTAGAGAATGCTTCCAGCTTTCCAGGAGAGAACTGCCCCACTTCAAACTCAGGCTGATGGCTGTTATAGTGGGGTGGAGAGAGCAGGGGGGTGTTCAGGTCACGGCCATGTGACAAAGCAGGCATGTTTGCAGGTTTTGTGAAAACAGCCTTCCTAATCTCGGACCGTTAGTTGACTCCTGGTCCACTAATCTGGTTCCCAAAATCTGCTCTCCCACACTTGCCCGGACTCCTCTCCCCATCTGCAGGGATCCCAGAGTGGGCTAGTTACAAGCTCCTGTTGTTTGTACCAGAGGGGCTCATGCTGTCCTTTGTGTGTGTGTGTGTGGGGGGGTCATTTAGACAATGCATAGCTAACGTGAGTGGGTCGTTAGCTATACTGCATCATATGCGGTGTGGGCCACTGCTGTTAACCGTCTTCTCTGTTGCTTGAAGCGATAACTGTTTTTGCTTTCAGTGTCACTGCTGGAAGCACATAGGGTGCCAACTATACCACTCTGCATGACTGCACAGTTATTCCCTTCCACAATTTTTGCACATATAGTTATTTTGAACATATAGTTTTCATAACCAGTTTTGTATATTTGTTGATTTTCTGTTGTGCCATGCCTGTTCTCCCAGGATCTTAATCTGGTTAGTGGTCTGGGGCAGGGGTCCCCACACTTCCTGGGCCTACAGGCACCCTTGACATTCTGGCTCAGAGCGGCAGCAGGAGGCAGCTCCAATCATGTCAGGGTTACACAAGAATGTAGCGTGGCTCTTAGACGTTTCAGGGAGGAGCTCTGATTCACAGGGTGCCTTTTAAAATAAGCATGTGGTTTAAAAGTAAGCTTCGGCCCCACAGAGAAGATACTTACTTGCTGGGGCGGCACCTGCTGCCCTGCCCATGCGCCATTTATAAAAACCTGCCCAGCCCACCAGCTCTCCAGTGGCCAGTCAGCTGCCCTCCTGGGCAGAATCCCCACTAGCCCCGCCCGCCTTCTGAGAACATTTGTCAGGCACCGCGTGGGGGCCTCCGGTCTAGTCTCTCAGCCCCTGGGCTGTCTTAGACAGAGGAAGAAGGGTCTTGCCTTGAGTGAGTGAGTGAGTGAGTGGGCATTTGCAATTGGGATTCCTGTGTCCAAAGACAGGGCTCTCTGGACTGTGCACAGCAGGTTGGATCCAGCCACTCCGCTCATTGTGGAGCCTTGCTAGGGCACAAGAAGCCTCCCCCTCTGGCGGAAGGTGCTTTTCCTCCAGAAGAAGGTTCCTTGCGGTGGGGAGAAGGGCTCTTTGCTTTGGATCCCTCTCAGCTGAGTCAGCATGAGCCAGCTCACTGTTTTCTAGCCTTCGGCTCAGGAAGGAGGGCTCCAGAAGAGCAAACTACTTTATGCAGCAGCCAAATCAATCGCTCCCAACTTTAATGCCAGGAGCTCACAAAGCAGAATTTTTGCTCACAAGACTCCACAGCTGAGAGGGAGCATTGGATCCAACCCATCAGTTCTTTGATTAGCCTCTTACGCTGTCTTTCTGATTTCACAGATATAGTGGATGATATCAGAGAAGAATGTAGTAAATACGGGCAGATAGTTTCCTTGTTTGCTCCAAAGGAAAATCCAGGCAAAGGCCAAGTAAGTACATGGAAAGGGGGAGATCAGCTTTAATCTGTTGTTTTAGTATTAGTACTGACTAGTAATTTTACATTAAGACAGTTGGATGATATATGCATACGCTGTACCTGCAAAGCAGCATTTTGGGCTCTCAGGAAAGGTCATACTAAAGGAGGTTTGGGGACAGCTGCAGTGGAGTTGCACGGACACCAACCCCCTCCCAACCCCCCCCTCCCCAAAGCCCTGCAGTTCAGGTGGGGAGAACTTTGCATGGAAGCAGTCCTGGAGGTTGACTCTGTAATCCCCCCCCCCCCCGGTCTCTTGCCTGCTCCGGAATAAGAAGACAGATGTGCTGGGGTGGATCATTATGCAAAATGCCAAGGAGATGAAATATCCCCCACTTCATTTCAGGTCTTCGTTGAGTATGCAAACGCCGGCGATTCCAAAGCAGCCCAACGAGCCCTGACCGGGAAGAGGTTTGACGGCAAGTTTGTTGTGGCTACCTTCTATCCACTGAGTGCCTATAAGAGGGGATACGTTTACCAGACTGTGCTTTAGTCCACAGCGAGAGTCAGGAGAGAGGCACATTCCCCCCCCCCCACACACACACACACCTGCCTGGCTTTGCCTGAATGGTCGTCTCTTCCCACCCACCCACTCCTCCAAGAGATGGAACATGCGTGTCCGCTCTTTCATTTTGTGATTTGCGGAAGCAGCCCAGATCGGTCTTGTTTTTGTTTCGATGAATGCCAGATCCACCTGCCGCCTTTTCTTCAGTTAACTCTGCAGTAACTGGAATCCTAACTGCGAAATGGAAGCGTGAGTGGAAAAACAACCAAACATTTAGGCCTCCCCGTGGTGGGGATGGTTAAGACGCCTCAGACACAAGAAGCACCGGAAGGCAATGTAGAGGGCTGCTGTTGTCTTAAAGATGCCGTGATGCCTCACTGGGGCTCCTTTTCTGTGAGCCCCTGGCAGAGAAAGAGTGGAAATTTGCTTCTCTGGGTATGGAGGAAGGAGGCTAGAAACCCAGGCTGAGCCTTCCGTGCTTGCCCTGAGCCTGCAGGACGCCCCTACTGAGCGTCATCGTGACAGAAGCAGCAGGGACTCCTCTCGCCTTAGGAGAGTGTCTTGTTCCAAGCGCAGAACTCCGGTCCAGAAAGCAGGGCATGTGGGGTGAAGACGCAGGTGCACTCTGCCAGGCAAAGGCTGAGGATTAAAGGGTTGGATCCAGGCGGAGGATGTCCACAGATGGGAAAGGGGCTGGTTTTTGCGGTTTCCCCCCCTTTCTGCGTCAGTTTTCCAGCCCTCGCCTCATACTGTTCTGGAGGGTCCTCCGGGAGTAGCGCCCTGAGAGGCATTTGGGGACCGCAGCAGAAGAGGGGGGGGCGAGGGATTCGTGCTCTGCGTGTGGAGGAGATCCCTTCTGCCCGTGGGGGTTTCTGGGGGATCCCAGGTGTCACTTCCGGCCATTTCTGGAAATGGGCAGGGCCCCCCCCCCCCGGGAGCCGGTCCTTTTCCAGAGTCACGTTTGGCCTCACGGTAGAAAGCGGCGGCATCTGCAGAACACTCCTCTGGACGGAGGCCTTGTTGCCGAGGTGATCCTGGTCTGCATGGGACCTTCCCAGTACTGCCTCTGTGAGCCAGGCAGACACAGGCGGCTTCGAGGGTTTCATTCTGCTCTAGTCTGGGCCTGCACAGGTTGTCTGCGTTGTAGATACTTTCCAGACTGTGGAGGTGCCCTTGCCACCCAGCAAACGGAAACGCCACTGATGGTCTTCATAGCTCTTGGAGGAAGGGATGCTCTTGAGGTGACTGGACACAGGCGCAGGTGGAGGAATTTATGCCCAGTGCACACAAGCAGACGCTGTGGAGACAAACATATGACTTGTCTCGTGCCGATAACACAACACAGAGGAACAAGAGCGGGGGGGCTTTGAAGGGGTGCTACAGGAGTGAGAAGAGGCCGAGCAGAAGCGCTCAGTGGCCGCTGCTGGGGACCGGCCCTGGCCTTGTGGGCAGCTGCGAGGGAGCCAGGGGGAGGCAGCAGGCCGCCTTGGGAGCAGCAGGCCGCTGTTGAGCAGGGCCATCCATCCATTGAGCCAGGGCGGGACCAGCCTGCTCAGCAAATGGGCCATCGGGTGATACATTTGGTGAAAGCGCTGCCCTTTTGCCCTGGCCCTGGTATTGGCCTGAGCTGTGTGGATATCATCTTTAGGGGGGCTGCTGGCTGCAGAGGATGGATCTTTTAGTTCCAAGTCCTGGTCAGTCACCTCTTTGGCATATAATTTCAAAAACAGCACATTTTAGAGCTTATCGGTAACCCCCTTGAAAGCCCTAAAAACTTTTGAAATTAAGTTTGAGACTCAGGCCACTGAACTGCACACCAAATCCCAAATTCCACATTTGCTCAGCAAAGCCATGCATGTCCACAGCGCACATGGTCCTGCTGTGTTAGGCTCCTGTGGCCAGAGATGGCAACCCTCTTGCGAAAGCCAGTGGCTGCTAACCATCCCTCTCGAAATCTCCCCGCATCATACTCTGCAATGCACTCCTGGCATGTCGGTTTGGCTCTTCCCCGTATCTTCGGCTGTCTTCCGACAGTCCTACAGCCAGTCTTCTGCTGAATCGTCTGACCTTGCTCTCTTGCTTATTGCGATAACACACCATAGAGCAGATCCTTACCTAGTTGGGGGGGGGATGGACCAGATTTTTGGAGCACATTTTCAAGCCGAAGTTTAAAAAAAAAAAACCTGTATCAAAACTTGAAGCTTTTCATAGCGTATGCAAGGACAGAGGTTCTGTCTGAAGACCAAGCGTATAGCTTTGCACTTTCAACTTTGTTGAGCCATGGATCTGATCGAGAGCCTCAACTGTCCTGGTGGCGAATCTCCATCCGTCTGCCCCGATAGCGTAAGATTAGCACTGCCCACCTTTACTGTATTTTGAGTGTTTACATGTTTTCTTTGAAATGTAATTAAATTGTCTTCTGTCAGGATTTATTTAAGGGGACCTGCTGCGCTCTGTGCACTCCAGCTCCACTGGAGAAAAGGGGACTGATAAAGGAAATTTTTTTAAAACAATGCACATCAGTCCTGACATCTGAAATATTTTATTGCCTGTTCCAACTAATTATGTTCAAGCACCCCCACTGGTTCGGCTCACATCAGGTTCGCCGGCCACAAGCGAGAAGCCAGTTGTTCGGCAAGCTGTTTGAGCGCTTCAGATGAATTTGCAGGGCTGTGTTGCTCTCTCTCATGCTTAGATCACATTTAAGTGCTGCAGATCTCCCCCACCCACCCACCCACCCACCAGCACTTGCCTACTGACGCTGCCTCACAATGAGAAAAAAAGGTAACAAGAAGGGGGGAAACCAGATTGAGATTTTTGAGTTGAAATTTACTATTTAGTGTTCCTGTGGTGTCTGCCCATGAACCCAGTTCAGCTTGTCATCAGCCCTGGAATCGATGCTTCTGATGTACAGGTTCAACAGACGGGCAGGGCAGTCTAGCTGATGCTGTACGCCGCTATGCATGCCCAAAGAGGGAACAGCTGCAAGTGGTTCTGTGCTTTGCACGAGACTGTCAGGGTAATAACATGGACAATCATTCTCTGTGGGGTACTACGTGTTCTCCTGGAAATGCGATGACTTTGTTCTTGGACTGAGGAAATGCGGGGGCCAATTTTGGTGACCGAGCAGCAGGCATGAAGCTTGAGATGCCCTTTGCCAGGGAACGTTGAGGCGATCCAGTCAGGAGGTCACCTTCCGTATAACTGAGGGAGCTCAAACGAGGTGTGCCTGGTTTAAACCAAGCAGTTAATAGCCAGCTTGGATGGGAGGGAAGTGGAAGTTAGGAATGCTCAGGGCAGGCGGGCCGGGGCGGGGCGGGGGATGCATACATCCAACACCTAATCTGTGCCACGTAAAGGTTTAATGGTAATACCTTATCTATTTTTCAGATTTCTATTTCTATCCTGCCCTTCCCTGAAAGTGGGCTCAGGGCATGTCACAACAAGTGTGTAAACAGTTAAAATACACAATACGTACAATTTAAAAACTATAAAACCCGTAATACAGTTCATGATGGCGAGCAAATGGACAAGCTCCATGGTGTATGCTGTAAACTGTCAGGTCGCCCATCAATCAACGAGTCGCTTCTCTGTTAAGAGGGAACTTTATTGAAAGGATGATTCACTAACAAGGCTTCTGATTAGAATAACATGGAGAGAACCGTACAGGTCATATGAAAAGAATTCAAACAACCCTTGGACCAATGGGTCAGATTCCCGCCAGGGAGAAATAAGCGCCAAAGGGCTGGGAACCCGAACGGTCCATGTAACCAAAACATTCCCGTTCCCAGGCTGTTGGCAAAAGTTGAGTCCAAGCAAACTAAAGCAAAACGTCTTATCTTCCCACCTGTCCTTGAAGTGTTGTGCGTTTCTCTAACAAGCTGTTTCGTGCGAGCCGGCGCCTAGGTTGCTAGGTAACTACTATAAACACATGAAGCCCGTTACAGAAAGCAAAGCATGATTAATTAGGAACCTATAGGTCAGGCATCTATATGCCTGATGCTAATATGACAGCTTGGCCAAGGGCTGGCCTGCCAGAAGGTGGGCAAAACATCCACCGGTGGAAGCACAAAACCAGCGGCAGCAGGGCAGGGGAGGCCGACATCCCATTTGACAGCCGAAGGCCTGGCAGAACGACTCCATCTTACAGGCCCTGCAGCACTGTACGGAGTCCTGCAGGGCCCTGGTCTCACCGGGGGGAGAGCTCCACCAGGCCGGGGCCAGAGCTGAAAAGGCCAAGCAGGTGTCTTTTGGGCCAGGGATTACCAGCCCCAGCAGCGGGTCTTACACTGTGCTTTAGGACACTCAAAAATGCTCCACGTGCATGAACTTAGAGCTGATCCTCACAGGAGGAGAGAGAGTAGAGAACCTTTTTAGGGGAAAGCAGCATTGTTGCTATGCAGCCAAGGAGCAGCTGGTGAGGGGAACTGTGCCTTCGTTTATTACCTGGTCTGCGTGCACTGGATAAAGAACATAGCCGTTCAGCCAGCTCAGTAGAACCTGCATCAGACTGGGTGTCCTGTAGATTTACTCTTGAGGCAGCCATGAGGGGTAGGGACTGGATTCGTGGAAGCCGCCCTCCCCCTGCCCCGGTCGTGCTGCCTTCTGCTGTATCTGATCCCAGGAAGCAGAGTGGGTGCTGCTGAGGAGTAGGCAGCTCCCCAAAACCAAAGTCTCCACAGAATTACTAGGTCCTGCCAGCACCTACACCCTAACCCTGTGAGGCTGAGAGCAGCAGGGAAACACGGAAACAGTATCAGGCAGGTAGCCGTGTTGGTCTGTAACTGCAGAACAGCATTCGAGTCTAGCGGCACCTTTGAGGCCCACAGAATTTCCCAGGGAACCTTGACACACGAGAGCTTATGACCCGGAAAGGGCTGTTGGTCTTCAAGGTGTGGCTGCCCTTGAACTTTGCTCCAGAAAAACATATTCCTTAGAGTCATAAAGGTGGAGAATAATTCTCGTTTGTACACTTGGGTGGCCAAATGACCCAGTCATCGCTTGTAAGACCACTCTGCAGAGTGCCCCTTCGGGGAGGCCCTGCTCTTCCAGCTGCTGTGGGTTCCTTTGTGTGCACAATTTAGTGCTTCTGTTTCCCAAAGCAGGCAAAAATTGTAGTAGATCCCCATATCGATCTTGGGGCGGGGGCGGGATTCAAAAACAACCATAGAGTAGTATCTCTCCCCAAAAGTCATTCGTTTGGGTCTGATGCAGATGAGCTGTGGACTGTCAGCAGAAAGAGGAAGCCAGGCGTATCCTCCTCAGCAAGCCCTTGATGACTGAATTGGGTCTCTCGCTAACCCTAAAGCCAAAGGAGGTCTCTCCCAGCAAACATGGAGCTTTTCCCTCCCCCCACCCTGAATCTTTCGGTCCGGTAGGACTCTTCGGAAGGGGAGTGAGGTTATCCACGCTGGGCACACGGGGCAGGGCCGGCTCTGCAGTTGGCCACGTCTCTCAAAGCAGCAAGACGAGAGGGGCTGGAGGGGGGCCCTCCCTGGGCACACGCTCACACCGAGGACAGGAAGGACTCCCCTGTCGTTCCTCTCGGGTCGGAAGTCGCCGTCTGGCTTGGCCTTTCCGTGTGTTTCAGGTTCCCCTAGGTTGAGGTTTAATTTTTTTTTTTAATTGCAAAGCAATTCTGAGTAGGTATCGTAACAATGTTAAAACTTTTGAAATCAGATCTCAGGCTCCACAAGATGAGGCTGACATTAAATACTGGCATATGGTTTGGTCACACCAGTGTTACAGCTCAAAGAACAACACTGTGACTTTTGACTGGTGGGATTTTGAAAAAATATGTGATGATCCACATTTAAGGATTCCGCTTGGCTGCCATTTACACAGAGAGAGGGTGGGTGGGTGGAGTGCCCTCCAGGTGCAGCTGACTTGCGGCCACCCCAGCCAGGGGCTTCCCGGGCCAGTGAAGAGCAGGGGCTTTCCGGTGGCCAGGGCCTTCCTCTGCAGGGTCTTCCTGGGCGCTCTCCCATCCCCAAGTGCTGACTCCGCTTCGCTTCCGAGATCTGACAGTGAGGCCCCTGTGCTGGTTGTAGAGAGACTGGTTAGAAATCTTGCTCAAGCACAGATGCTGTAGACTGGCTAGGACCTTTTTTTTCTTATCTGCCAAAAGATTTTTAAAGCTTTCAACTAAATGCAGGGTGATCATTGGGTGGGATCCAGCCAGGTTTCCCATTCAGTCTTGCCCAATTCTCCCTGTCCCACGTGACGGCTTTTGTCCATGCCAGTTCCACAATTTCCCCTTTTCTGGTGGGGGGGGGGGCTTTCACATGGTTTTCCAGAGCTTTAGAAGAACAAATCTTTCTAGGGATTGTTTAGAGATTGGAGGTAAAAAAAGTCAGATTTGGAGTTAACACAAGTAAATATTCTCTTAACTGGATAGTTATTCCCAGGGCTTTTTTTGTAGAAAAAGCCCGGCAGAAACTTGTTAGCATGTTAGGCGACACCCCAACATCACAGCTCATTAACATATTAGGCCACACCCCATGCATTCCATTGCCTTGTCTGGGCCAGCCGGCCCTTGGACAGGCCAGGAAAGGCATGGGAAGGCATTTAAATGCCTCCCCAATCCTTCCAGGGGGGCCTCAGAGTTACCGGGGGGGGGGTGTCACTCTCCAGGCCTTCCCTCTGTAGCCACAAAGGCAGAGGTTTTGGCTGTAGTGGGCGTGGCCAATTCTGAAGCCAGCCAGACCCCTGTTCCTGTGCGTTCCTGCCCCCAAATAGCCCTGGTTTTTCTGTTACCTACTCAATGGTGCATCATTTCCATTGGGTTCAAAGAGAAATGCATTTCTGCATATGTGTCAAGAGCTGGTACACCTGGGGATCTGCTCAGACCTGTGGTCCAGCAAAGGGCTCAGTACTGAGCAAAGACACTTGGCACCTCTGCTCCCTTCCAGGAATGGGAAATCATTTTCTGCTAGGAGGTGTGCTTAGAAGTAGAAAAGCACTTGCACACAATCCACTGATCTCCCTGTGCCTCTCCATCCTAGGCATGGGAGATAACGATGCCACGGAAGAATCTGGGGCATACTTCTGTTTCCCGAGCAGAGCAGAGTTATCTCCTGTGGTGCCCTCTGATGGGTTTCCTGCTTCTTTGGCAAAGCATCTCCGCCCCTGCCACCCCCCAGCCAGGAGCCGGCCCTGGCTTTCCTCTGCCTCATTGGAGCAGGAGGTGCTTCAGAAGAGCTCAGGGAGGGAGCAAGCGAGACTGCGTGCTCTGCGGGTGGGTGTGTGGGACATGATGAGTGCTGGCCCCGAACACAAGGGAGCCATCAGAATCGGAAACCACTCTTTAAGCCAGCGAGAGGTGCAGGGCTTGGCAGGAAATGGGAGCACCGGGCACAGAACTGCCAGCCAGTGTTCCCTCTAAGCTGAGTGGGTGTGAGCTAGCTCACAGTCTTTTAGCCTCCAGCTCACCCATTTCTGTCTCAGCTCAGGAAGGAGGGCTCCAGAGCAGACTAACGGATGCAGCAGCCAAATTGCTCGCTCACAACTGTAATGCCAGCAGCTCTCAAAAGTAGGATTTTTGCTCACAAGACTCGCTGCCAGCTAAGAAGAT